TTTAGGGTGTGTGTCAGTGCCGCGTCCCGACCCCGCGCCAGTCGGGCCGCTTCAGTGCAGCGGATCCCGCCCCAACCACCCCAAGTAACATTTTTCACGGGTTTCGAACTTTTTCCAGTTTTCTATACCACTTCGGGTGATTCACGTGCAGACAGCCCTTTGCAGCCGTCCTGATGGAGCTATGCTGCTGCTACACTGCAACGGCTGCACCCTGTCACCTTCCACGTGAACAAGGATTCCAACCAGTGGGCTGACGAACTGACAGAACCGGACTACCAGGGCTTCTGTCCAGACCGTCGTCTCCGAGTCAGCGGTCTACTGAGAAGCTTTACTGCTGGAATCTGAGCCCTGCTAGGTCTTGGTACTTCGAGTGGTGCGTGGTGAGGGCGAGAGTTCCCCAGTCGCTCGTTACCAAGTGGGAATTTTCTCGCCAGGCACAGTGCCTCCCTTTTTTCCTACTAGTGACCCTCTGGGAGGGGAGGCCGGGAGCCTTTGGCCCCGACTCGCTCGGGGGGGAACCCTCTCCAAGTCACACTTCCATTCGCAAGGAAGAGAGGGAAGTGTTGGTGGTTACTCTTGGGTCCGGTCGTGCTCTTGTTGGCCTCTGTCCTAGTCACGCGCAGAAGTATTTGGTGTGCAGTAGACCATCCAGGCGTGGCAAAGCAAGAAGGCCGGAGGCCTTTGGAAGACCCGCCAACGTACTTAGTGCAATTTTCTAGCTTGCTGGGGACGGAGCTACTTTTGTAGCACAATGTCCGAGCCTTGTGAGGTCTCGAGCCTTGGGAAAGCCCTGAAAACTCGCCAAAGCAAACGCATAGGAGACAGCCTTCGAAAATCCTTAGCAAGCCAGCCTAAGCCACTTCAGGCCGAACACATCCACGAAGCCTCTCTTCGGGCCACGTGCAGGCGCGGGGACTCTTCGGAATGTTTTGCAATGCGAGACGAGCACTCCTGTCGACGCATGTAGAACGGCCTGAGCCCTGAGCTGTTGTCTCCACTTGTCATGTTTCTCAAGAAAGAAGCGGGTTCGGGAATGCTAAAGCGGCCAGAGCACGCGTGCCGACAACATGAGCACCATCGTCCTCTTGGACTCCTTTTGGGAGGGCCTTGCCACACCTGGAGCGGAACCGCCGGCGGTGCTGCTCGGGGTTGAAGGCTTTCATGAGGACAAGTGGACCGCGGCGGTCGCAAAGCTCTACCCAAAGTCGTTGACCTCGTACCTCAACGGTCTGCCGACCAAGCTGCCGGGGAAGCTGGTCAAGGACTTGAAGCCCTTCGCCAGGCTGCGATGGAGTGTTTGTAGTTTTCCTGGAAGTTCAACGTACACATTTCTAACAAGCCGGCAAGTTTGAACCTTGCATCCTCCTCCTCAGCGAACATGACCTGTATCCTAGACTCCTATAGACAGCCCGGGAAACAACTTACGTGAGTCCTCTCAAAATATGCATCTTCCGCAGAGGCTTCCCGTGCCAGAACGAGCAGCACACTTGCAGAAGCTCGGCATTTATCTCGCCTATGACGAGGATGTTGTAGACTCAGGTGACAGCGCAGAAGCAGTGGTCGCTCCCCCTGAGGACTGCTTAAGTGAGGTGGACTACGATCCAAGTGACCTCGAAGATGAAGCAGCTGCGTTGGTCTCTGGTCCCGTCACAGTTACGCCAGCCCTGAAGCGCCGCCGGCTCTCAGA